CTGGAAGGCCTACACCCATTTAACCTCAGTCCTTGGGCAAAAGACTGCCAGGTCTTTGCATAGCGGTGCCTCTTCCTTGGCAGGGAGTCCCGGGCCAAGCGAACCTTTGCCTCCTTCATCTCCCCCCCCCCCCCCCCGCCTCGCCCCGCGCGCGCCCCTTTGGGAGCTGAGTGCTTCCTGAGAGACGCACAGTGAGCATAGGCTCAGGGACTCCAGGGAGAACGCGGTGAGCTGCTGTTTCCTCAGGTCACAGGTTCCCAGTCCCAACCGTTAGGAACACAGAGGGAAAGAACTGGATCCCCACGTTAAGTCCTCACATACCAGAATCCCCACCAAGGGAATCCAGCCGCAAGTGGAGTGCGTGGGGAAGCTGTGGATTCTAAGGATTCTAAGTGCATGGTGCAGTCCGGGTGCATCGTCCAATTCCACACCCGAAGCTGGATGCAAGATTGTGTGTGCCCCCATCCCCCGTGTGCAAGATCGCCCAGAAGCCATGATCAACAGATCCCACGAGGGCTAGTCTCCAGCACCACGCTGGCTTGGCCTGTCCCTTTGCGGTGACTAGACCGGCACAGGTGTGAAGGTCACAGCTCTTGGCCTTTGAGACCACATTTTTACAGCTCCCAGAATTGAAAAAAACGGGGGGGGGATAAAAGCCCCTCCCCTTCACATTTCTGGATTGCAGTGGTTTTGTTTCAGCTACTTTGAGGATAGGGACAAAAAAAAAAGTTTCTACATAAGAATGTCGCGGACACACTGTCCCGGGAAGTGCTTCTTCTTGGGGGCACTTTAGAACCCCCCTGTCCTGCTTTCTGCATGGTCAAGGAGCAGAATAAAGGAAGCAAAGACTTTTATTTTATACACCACTTGATCTTTGCTTGGGAAACTCTATTAATTGAATGGGCTTGCCTTTTTTGCCAGGTCCCCTTTATCATTATTTATGGGCTTTAAATTGTTTAAAGTTCCCTTGACGTTCAATTTACAAGTTTGGGGACTTTTTTTGTTCTGCCTTTTGTCCTGGAGAAAGACATCGTGTTGGAAGCGCTTTGAAAAGCCAAACATGAGAGGTTGGCGGTGAAAGGGAAGCGGGCAAGATCCCTTTTAATTCCGTCCTGTTGGTGAATGGCTCTTTTACATAATTGCAGGAGCTATTTCAAAGCCAGCCAAGGGCTGACTTCACTTAGAACCACATGGAGTCTATTTTGGGCTTTCAGATTTAAAAAAAAAAAAAAGCTGAATAAAATAGTTTAAAAAGATGAGGCTTCAATGCTTTCTGCTACTTGCAAATTGGTGTGTCTGATGGGGAGTTTTCCACAAGCGCCTCTTTGTAAGTCCGTCTTGGGCCGGGGGGAAGCTCGATTCTGGGTTAGCTGGGTGTGAATCCCAATTGCCCCTCCATAAATAAAAACCATCCCAAGCTATTTCCCAACTATGTCCAGGAGCAAGTTCTGCGGCAAATACGGAACCGTCAGGACCACTCAAAATCCTGCTTAATAAAACAACACGGTTGCCCGAGAAACCATCCTGAAGTTTGGGTCTGGACTGCTGGCCGGGCAGCCTTTTCTCCTGTGCGAGGCCTGCAGGCTTCCCCACGCGGCATCCTCGGAGACTGGAGCGCTCCCCGTTGACCCCTCGAAGCAGCACGACGCTTCCACCTCCAGGTAATATGAATATCCATTCACTCGTGCGGTTCGTATTTTGTGCTTGTGAAACGTGGAACCAACTTAATTACCGCCACTTTTATCGAACGTCTAAGCCACTTATACAATCCTGACGATACTCTCTTGGCAGCGGTAAAGTACCTCTGGGACTGGGCTGTCGTCATCTGAGAAGGACGCTTCGAGGGAAAAAGTTCGCAGAAGTTAACTGGAGTTGGGGAACCCAGCTCTCCCCGCGCGCCCTGCCTTTTCCTAATTGGAGGGGGGCGGGGCTCTCCGAGCCTAGTTGCTAAGATCTGAGCCGGGTGGTTTTCCCGCGCAGCCTGGGCCGAGTCCAGTTTCGCTGGACTCTGCTATTCGAGGTAGTTCTGAGCAAAGCGGATAGGAATTTCAAGGACAGATAGGGGTACCTGTCGCTCCCCGTCCGTAAATCCAAAGGCTTTCGTTATCCGCAGCCGCCAGGCTCGCCGCGCTCTGCACGTAGCTGAGGTGTCCTGGAATTGAATCTTGTTAATCACGCCAAAACACAAGCACCCTTTTATGATGCGAACAGTCATTTTCTAAGCAGTTAAGCATTAGATGAGAAAAATATTACTGCATAGCATTCGAGAAAAGCACACTAGTAAATAAAATTCGTATTGATGAAAAATTATTTGAACTCACTAATAAAAGATTAGTATTATAACCCCGCAGTCAATACTTTTCGTGGCAATTTATGGATACAAATAATACGCCATCAAATTACTTCAAGTGTGGCTATAATTCAAAGGTCCAGAATCTTGTTGCTGAACTTTAAGCGTAATCACCAAAATAGTCAAAGGAATCTCTACCTCTGGGTGTAATCAAGCGACAGAAGACTCTACAACGATATTTCACAGTGAAAGGGCAAAATGGAAGGTATTTGGGGCCAGGTACGTGAGTAGCTGCTTACACAGGCGTCCCAGAGATAAGCGCGAAGATCCTCGGCTGTTGCTACATAAATCAAGGAAGCCGTTATTCTGGAAGTTGGGGAGCGGGGCAGCGGACGATTAACAACAAGGTAATGGCATCAGAATCTGTCACTGTAACTATCTCATAATAAGAGGGAGTATTTATTATGCTCATGGAGGAACCAGCCTTTTGCCTTGGGCTTCTTTTGTGGGCAAACAGGGGCTACAGCTTGGAAGACTCCTCAGACACCTCCTTCCCGTGTATCCCAAAGGGAATTAATTTCCCCTCACACTGCCTAAGCCATCTCGAGGTCTGGGCGTGAAGTGAGGGGACGCAATACAGGCAGTGCCCTAATGAATTCCTTTCAAACCGCCTGCTGCCGAAACCATCTATTACTGCGGCCCCGGAGTGGGGAAAGGCGTTTGAGATGTCTTTGTCCGGGTGATGGAGGGAAGGGGAGGGGACACTGGTGGGGGAGGAGGGCCTCTGGCAGCCCGGCCAGAGAGTTTTCTCCTGGCCTAGGGATCCGAAGGACGCACCCTCAAAAAGCCTCCTACCTTTCTGGGTGGGCAATTGCTCTCTGGCCAGACTCTTGGCCCAAGGAGATGGTCTAGGATTGAGACGTCCCCGGGGGGTCTTGGGGTTAGAGCGAGAGGGAGAGAGAGGGAGAGAAAGAAGCAGAAAGAAGAGCTTCAAAGAATCGGGTCGATAAATTCATAAAGATCGATTTATCTTTATCTCCCAATTAAATGTGCTTGTGATACGTACACACATCCAACATGGGCCAACTACCCAACCACCAGCTCCGCGGGGTGAACTGATTTTTAGTGGCTTATGTAACAATGCCTTTCTTTGCTCCCTGATCGGGTGCTGTCAGCAGTTCCGGAAGGATGTCTAGACCAGGGAATTTGAAGCCGAGGTCCGGGGACCGGAGGAAGCCCTGCGCGCTCTGGCGCGCTTGGCAGAACCTGCCCTTGCCAGGAAACAATCTCATTTAAAACGGAACACAAGAGCTGAAAGTTTGTTTCAACATAAGAAAAGAGGACCAGTAAATGTCTACTTTCCTTTCGCCGCAATCCGGCCAATCTCTTGACTCCCAAATTCCTGGGGATTTACCATCATCGAGAACGGGGGATAGATCTTGAGAGGCTCGGCTTCATCCGGCAGTCGGCAAAGGGGAACCGCGCGCCCTGGAGTCATCGAACTGTGCGGAGCCAGGGTGAGAGCTCCCTTCACTTCCAACGTGCTTAATTAGCGCCTATTTACAAAACGCAGCTTTTATTTGAGCAAACATCATAAAGCTTTCATCAGGATAATCTCACGTTCTACAATCCAGAGGCGTCTCAACCCCCCCCCCCCATTTCCTCCCTGAAGATGGAGCAGATAAAGGACTCGCTTTATTATCATAATTATCTTGGCTGTTATTTTGGTGCGCGCTGGCAAAGTGGGAAAATAGGTGCGATGATTAAGAATGTCATGAAAAATGAGAAGGGATCGCTCACGAAGGGCCCAGCTAGGAATGGGGGAGGGGGGACCAGCCTGCCCGCCCCGCCACCAGAGAGCCCTGAACAACTGGGTAGATTCCGTGTAATGAACAGGGGCTTACAGGACTCTGGCGCACATCTGGGAGCGAACCTGTAGAGGCAAAACCCAGGAGACCTTGCCGGGACCCTTGGCACAACCAGAGCACCCCTGGCTACAGTGAGCATCACACAGGGTTCTGCTATAGAGACCATAAAGGAAATAAAACACTCCCGGCCCATTCAGGGCGGGTGCCAGCTCCAAGCTGCCTCTGAGACGGCTTCCACGGGGATGCCAGGGACTCGAGGATCTGAGCAAAGGATGTAGCAAGGGTTCCTCTCAAGTTTGCGCTGCGTGGTGCAGGAACACGGGCTTGGGCTCCCAGGCCTGCACGCTCCAACGGTGGCGCCCGCAGCCCGCCTGCGGCCAGCCTGGGTAAAGGGGGCGGAGCCCTAATTTTGCCCTGCCTCTCCTGGCACAGCCAATGGGAGGTGGTACTCAACACCACGTGACAAAAGCTCGGCTGGGCAGCTGGCAAAATGTGAATGAGAAAGAGGAGCGCGATTTAAAGGTGCTGGCGGCGCCCGCCAGAGACAAGTGCGCCGGCTTCGCGCGCTCCCCGGCGGCCCGTGGGAGACGACGGACTGCGGGACGGACAGACGGACACACGCACCGCTGGTAGCCCGGCCGAGAGCCGCAGACACAACACGCGTACGTTCCGAAGAGCTAGCACTGGGGAGCGGCTCCAGCAAACGCGAGGCCCCCGGCTCCCTCTCCATCGCGGGCACACGGCCTCACCGCGCTCAGCGGCTACACCCGCGCGGGCCGGGTATGCTGCAGGTCCCGCACTGAGGGGCGGCGGCGTCTACGCTCCGGGTGCCGCTCGGCCTCTGTCGGGTGCTCCCGGCGTCCGGAGGGCTTCTAGGCGGCGCGGCACGGGGACTTTTCGTCTCTCCCTGGCCTCTCCCGAACGCGTCTATGAGCGCAGCGTTCCCGCCGTCGCTGATGATGATGCAGCGCCCGCTGGGGAGTAGTACCGCCTTTAGCATAGACTCGCTGATCGGCAGCCCGCCGCAACCCAGCCCCGGCCATTTCGTCTACACCGGCTACCCCATGTTCATGCCCTATCGGCCCGTGGTGCTGCCGCCGCCGCCGCCACCACCTCCCGCGCTGCCCCAGGCTGCGCTACAGCCGGCTCTGCCCCCCGCGCACCCTCACCACCAGATCCCCAGTCTGCCCACTGGCTTCTGCTCCAGCCTGGCTCAGGGCATGGCGCTCACCTCCACGCTCATGGCCACGTTGCCCGGCGGCTTCTCGGCGTCGCCCCAGCATCAAGAGGCGGCGGCCGCCCGCAAGTTCGCTCCGCAGCCACTGCCTGGTGGTGGCAACTTCGACAAAGCCGAGGCGCTCCAAGCCGATGCGGAGGAGGGCAAAGCCTTCCTGGCCAAGGAGGGCTCGCTGCTCGCCTTCTCTGCGGCCGAAGCGGTGCAGGCGTCGCTCGGTGAGTCGGCGGCGCGCGCAGCCGGAAAGCGGGGACGGGAGGGAGTGGGGGCGGGCCAGCTCCGGGTTCCCGCCGGGACCCCGGGGACGAGGCCGCGCCCCCGCCCTACCTCCGCTGGATTAGCTAAAGGAGCCGAGGGGGTGTTCAGCGGAGCTTCCCAAGGGGCAATTAAAGCCAGGCAACAAGCAGGGTCTTGGGGAAGAGAGGCATTTAGGGATCTCCTGCTAGCTGCTCCGGGCCACGCTTCTGGCGGCGCGTTTGGCCCAAATCTAAACTGTCCCCTCAACACACACTGTGATGACTGAGGGTCCTTGATATGTTGCAACCTTAAGCAGAGGCCTGTTGGGCTGTTTTTTTTTTTTTATTTCAGTTGCGCATGTACCCAAGAGAGTCGAGACTTAACATGTCTTCATTGGGTTCTCTGCTGTCCAAGAGAATCAGATTTTTAAGAAACTGTCCAGGTGTGTGTGTGTGTGTGTGTGTGTGTGTGTGCACATGCATTCGGGCGCGCGTATGGATTGTCGGGTAGGGAACTTCTCCAAAGGTGACCCAAACGATCTGTCTCAAGAAAGCTGCTGTCTGACATAGGCACTACTCTATTATCCCACTTCTGTTGTGGTGAAATTCAGACTCACTAAATTTCAGTGTTCAGATTGGTGGCAGGAAGGATCGTGAACTCTCCCTTGGTCCTCAAACAGCCCTGGACTCCGGGGAAACAAAAGGGGATGTTCTCTTGGGCCTCGGGTCCAAGCTGCATCCTTCTACTTCAACTGTCAGAGGCTGGGAGGGCTCGCGCGGGAGGCATGTCGGCCCCTTGAGTGATGGTTCTGGGCAAAGGGCCGTCGCCTCTGCTGTCTCCTCCTCTCCTTTGAGCTTTTCTCACGCTCCCCCCCCCCACCGCCGCCGCACTCCTCAAAGCCCAGGAAATCACAATGTGTTAATGTCGTAGAAAAACAATCTGCTGGGGGTGGGGGTGGGAGTGAGGTGCCCAAGTGGGAAGGGGTAGGAAAGGCAGTGTTGGAAATGTAATAAAAGCCGTTTGGTTTTGCTTTCAGTCGGGGCTGTCCGAGGGCAAGGGAAAGACGAGTCAAAGGTGGAAGATGACCCGAAGGGCAAGGAGGAGAGCTTCTCTCTGGAGAGCGATGTGGACTACAGCTCAGATGACAATTTGCCTGGCCAGACCGCTCATAAGGAGGAAGATCCCGGCCACGCACTGGAGGAGACCCCGCAGAGCGGTGGTGCAGCGGGCAGCACTACATCCACGGGCAAGAACCGGCGGCGGCGGACTGCCTTCACCAGCGAACAGCTGCTGGAGCTGGAGAAAGAATTCCACTGCAAAAAGTACCTCTCCTTGACAGAGCGCTCGCAGATCGCCCACGCCCTCAAACTCAGCGAGGTGCAGGTAAAAATCTGGTTCCAGAACCGCCGGGCCAAGTGGAAACGCGTCAAGGCAGGCAATGCCAATTCCAAGACCGGGGAGCCCTCCCGGAACCCCAAGATCGTCGTCCCCATCCCCGTTCACGTCAGCAGGTTCGCTATTCGAAGTCAACACCAGCAGCTGGAGCAGGCCCGACCCTGAGGACCCAGTCAGGGTGGACACCGTCGTGGAGAGGCCCTAACACCCGAGGGAACCCGTGGCAGATTCCACTGTTTGAAGCAGAACTCAAAGGCACCTCCCAGATGTGGACATCCCAAGCAAATTGAGAATATATTCACTAGATGGGCTTAAAGTGGGCTACGGCCACACCAGAAGATACACTAAATATTTATTATACGACCCTACTTTGTACATAGATATCTATATAGACTGGATCTCAGCTGCAGTATTTGAAAGGGATAGGACCAAAGGTCTCCACCCACACATTCCAGATGAAATAAACCCACCACTTGGTATTCTGCCGCCCCGGGGCGGCCACCTTCCCATACTTTCCCAAAGGTAAATGGGAGACACAAGAACAAACACTGGGGTTTAAACTTATTTTTTGTTCTTAATTCTGGCTTTTTGAGTTGAGCGCAGAGCAGACTTCTTGGAATCTAGGAATCTGCTCTGCTCATTTGCCTTTGCCTGGCTTTCTTCCCTGGGCTTGTCTATCCTATATCTGAGCCATGGCGGAAGCACGTCTCCGTTGTGTTTAATTTATTTCAATGTAGCTTATTTTCATATAAGTTATGACATTTAAACAATCTCAGTCTTGTGAATAATAAAAAAGCAAGAAAAAAAAAACACAAGCTCAGTCGTTGGGGCCTCCTAAGAGTGCCCACCACTTGGGCACTTCAAGGGCACTGCCAGGGTGTGGTCAGCTGAGTGGCATGGGACCAGGATGGAGGCTGATGGGCCCTAAGCCACGTAGCACTCTAACAGACTTTCAGTTAGAGAGTAGAGCTGTGGGTGTAAGAAAGCCTAGTTTTCACTTTAGAAGTCTGCCATGTCCCCCTTTTGCATGGCCTTATCAAAACCCGAGGACTGGCAAACTTTGGCCAGAGGAGGTGAGAAAGCAAGCGGGGTGGTGATGGGTTTGCACAAACTCAGGGACTCCACACCCGATGCATCCAGGGAAAAGAAACTCCGATCCTAAAAGCAGCGGTGCCGGCTCGCTCTCAGGGCCTCGGGTCCATAAATCAGTCTGCAGGCGTTATCTTCCGACAGGAGCCGGAACCCAGCAAGCAGTGTAAGGCTTCCCGGCAACTCTGGGCTTGGAGGCGGGCTGTGAACTCTAAGGCTCTACACCTCCCCCTCCGGGCGGGGTCGGAGGGGGCGTGCCCTGACCAGTGCCCCACCCCAAGGGCACTGGGGCCTCGCTGCCCCTCAAACGTGGCTTAGCGCCCAGAAACCTAAGGATGGGGTGTCTCTCTGCCTTGGAGGGCAGCCTGTAAAGCGCGGGAGGGGCGTGCCCCGCTCCACTCCACCTCCTCTAACTTTGGTACTAAGACCGAAGCCCGGACCGCACTCCAGAAGCGTCCAGAGAGACGCCAAGGCCTGGCGCTGCCAACATTGCGGTGCCCAGGACCCGGGTATCCCCGAAGTGTGGAGCGTGCTAGTGACGGTGATCCTTCTGGCCCTTAAACCTGCAGCCCAGAGAGCAGCTAGTGGCTCCACCGCATCAGCTTTCCAAACAGAAGGATGCGGGAAGCCCCAGCAAAGCCGCCCTGAGGCACCCGCTGTGGTTTCCAGTCCAAGAAGGGGGAGTCCTAGTGCCCTGGATCAATATTGAGTTAATTTATCCCATTTGCTCTGGTCACCTCTAAGCGGCATAGGGGTCGGGCCATAGAGGCCTTTGCCCAAACTTCAGGCACAGGGTGGAGGGCCAAAGTCACAGAGTCACGGTTTCTTTCAGAGTATTTCCTCTATTGGGAAATGCCTCGGACTTGGGTTTTTAGGACAATGCCATGGAGTGGCCTTTCCTCCTAGGGTTAAGGCAGTCTTTGCAAAGCTCTGCAGTTCTCTGCTGTCCCCTACCCAGTGCTAGGAGGAACCGAAGGAAAAGTGGGGGCTGTGTCCTGCCCAGGCACAACTAGTGTGTAAGGTCCAGCAGCTTCCTCAGATCCGCACCCCTCCTCCCCCGCCGGTGTCTCTGTTGGCACTAGCTGCTTCAGCCAGATTCCCAACAGGCTACGGTGTCAGTGCGGGGTGCAGGAAAATTCTAGGTCCTTAGGGATGCCAAGCTCTCTTTTCTACACAGGCAACACCTTGGCCAGTCCTTCCAGGGAATCCATGTGTGTCCGCGGAGGGGCTGTGACTGAAAACGTAGAGTCCAGTACCAGGACTAAGAGAAATGCGAGGTGAAATGCGGTCTCCCGCCCTAGCCCCGGTGGCACTGCAGGTCTGAGAGAGCAAGGCCTTGAGTACCCGGAATTCCCCCTCATATGTCCTCCCAACACACTAGATGTAAACAGCCCCTCCCAGCCCTCTCTCAAAGCCTCTGTCAGGGGTGCGGGTGGAAGTCTTGACCCACACAAACCCCTTGAGAAAGCAAAACTTCCCCCAGAAAAAGGCAGCCGCCTTCGGGGGGAGGGGGACCCCACTATGAGACTCATGCTGCCTAGCACGGTCTGGCCCTTTAGAAGCACAGGCAAGGGTCCTGAGATACTGCCTGCCCCCTTGCCCTGTTAGGGGGCTGTCCCTTTCCTCCCCAACCGCTGGGGGCCCTGGCACCCCAGAGCCCAGAGCCCGAGGCCCTGGAGACAGGCCGAGGGCAGGAAGATAAACAGGCAGCCCTTGATGGCCGCTGTCATCATGGCCGTCATCATGGCTTTCATTTGGCTGCCTAATGAGTCACATCACAGGCTGAGAGAAAAATTGTCAATCGCCTGGGCCCTAATGAATTTTTTTGCAAATTGTAATCAAGCCAGGCCGTCTCAGCTGGCTGATTAATGAGACCCACGAGGCTCGGCCAGCACCTCAGCTTTTTATTCCATCCCGTCCTCCCCGCACTAAATTAACAGCAACTTGTCTGAGCTTCAAATTAACTCCCAATGATTAATTCTGATGGGGGGGCCTGAAGAATAGCTTGTTCTAATAGGCTCTGGCCCGAGATGCTGTTGGAAATTAATACACTTCCCCTTTGGCTGCCGGCTTTAATCCAAGGTTGGGTTTTGACATCACTATATTTGCTGTTACAATAAATCCCACTTACATCTGCAGATCGAATAATTACGGCCAGGATCACACAGGCCTGGGCCCCCAGCCGGCAGTGCAGTGGGACACTTGGGGGCTGACCTCGGATCCATAGCCTAAGGAGGGGGTTATCCTGGGAAGAGTCACCTGACCCCATGGCCCTTTTTCTCATCCCCCAGAATCCTTCCCTTATCAGGGAGCTTGAGTATCCCCAACTCTTTGGAAAACTGAAGTTGCTTTGAAAGCCTACATCCAGATCTTCATCCAAGCAGTCTGTCCCTCCCGCTCCCCTAGAAGGCTGGGAATTCCTTCCAGGCAAAGGTGTGTGTGTGTGTGTGTGTGTGTGTGTGTGTGTGTGTGTGTGGTGTATATGTGTGTGGTGTATATGTGTGTGGTGTGTATGTTTATGGTGTGTGTGTGGTGTGTGTGTGTATGGTGTGTGTGTGTGTGGTGTATATGTGTGTGGTGTGTATGTTTATGGTGTGTGTGGTGTGTATGTGTATGGTGTATGTGTGGTGTGTGTGTATGGTGTGTGTGTGGTGTATATGTGTGTGATGTGTATGGTGTGTGTGGTGTGTATGTGTATGGTGTGTGTGGTGTGTATGTGTATGGTGTGTGTGGTGTGTGTGTGTGGCATGTATGTGTATGGTGTGTGTGTGGTGTGTATGTGTGTGGTGTGTATGTGCTATGTGTGTATTGGTGGGGAGGGCTTCTCCAGCCCTAAGTTGAAGCTGGAATTTTCAAGACTTAGAACAGGCTTGTCACGAGGCAGTGAGTCTTTAGTCCCCTGGAAAGGTTCCTTCAGGTTGCCTTTTCAGCTAAATAGGCTGAGAGCAAGACCTTCGGGCCCTCTCCCCCATGGACTGGCCACTCACGACCAGTCTCACTTTGGTTGTGTGCTCTGCCTTCCAAGATGCCCTTTCTCCGGGGTCAGCACTTGCTCCCTCTCCTTTCTGTGGCTGGAGCTTAATTGGCTTAATCACTTCAGCTGTGTCTGGTGAGCCTCACCCAGGGCCTCCAAGGCTGCTCCTGCTGGCCCTGGTGTACTCAAGGCGAGTACCCAGTGTGCTGAAGATTGGGAAGAACACCCAGGCTCACGGCTCTGGTTCCCCCTTTATGACTGACCAAGCTCCTCGAATCTGTCTGGAGGGCCTGTAGCCCGTAGTAGCCCTGCCAATCAACTTGGCTTCCACACTTTCTTCTGGACACTGGCTATGACATGGCCAAGTGACCTGCTGGACCAAGCTGTGTGGCCTTTGGTGACAAGTTCCTATGCACAACACCTCTCCCTATCCTTGGAGACCATGATCCTCTGTCTGGGTATACACAGCTTGGGCAAGTGGCCTCCCCTCAACCTTGGAGCTGGGGCCAGCACAGCCTTCTTCACCAGCGCTGGGATCTAACCTAGTCAGCCTTTGGGATCCTGGAGGGAGTCACAACCAGGGTCGACAGTGATGGCCTGGACAGAGAGATGTGGCATTAATCTTCATTTTGGGCCCTTATGGTGTGTAAACAGGAGAAATATGATCTTGGTAACTGAACATGAATGCAAATCACACTGTCAGAGTAATAAAGCACCTGAAACCCCGACACACAAAAGCAACACCATATGTATGAAGACAACCTGCATAAATTATAAATTACATCATAAAAATTGATTGCCTATTTGAACAGTTTAGAAGTGGGAGACCTAAGCTGACTTCTGCCCTCTGTGGCTTTGGAGAAAGGTCAGGCTGTGCCTTCTCCCTCTGTGGGTCCCTAACCCGAGGACCTGGGTGCAGGTTGTGGTGGATAGTAGATGGGACAGCAAGCATGAGGAAGATCCCACTTCTGGTGGGTTGTGATGGCAAGGGCAATGGGGGCTGTCGACAATCATGGCCCAGCAGGCCGCTGGCGCTTCCGCCCAACACAGCGTTGCGGTCCTAGAAGATGCTGAGATTGTCTAGGCAGCTCTCTCTGAATGGAGCCAGTCTTCGGTGAGCAGGCCAGGCGTGTGAGAGCTGGCGCTTGTGCGTACTTTGCTTCGGAGCAAGTGAGCGCGGACGTGTGTATGTGATGTGTGATTCGCTGTCCTCGGCAGCTTCTTTCGCGTTCCTAGATGAACTATAGTCAAGAGTTCGATCTTGCAGTCAGGGCCCGCACGTCCCCAGAGCTGAGCGCCCATTATGCCCCCAGAGCTTCTTGGAACTCCACTCTGCAGGAATCCCATCCTTGTCAGAATCCCTCCTCGGCTGCACTTCTGAACTCTCCCTGAACCTCTTCCCAGACCCCCTGGGCCTGCGGCCCCAGCACCACTCGGTTGTGCTCTCCCAGCACGGTATTAGCTTCATAGATGGAGTACCTCTCCGCTCCTTAGAAGGACTTCCACTGTCACCTCCTTCACCCCCTTCAGTTTGGCCTCGGGGTTGCTCAGTCCCTGCTCCGTGTCCGCTAGCATCTCTTCCTGGAACATGGGTTTATGGCTTTTCCCCCAGTTCTCTGTATTCATGCGGCCAGCTATCCTCTC